CTTGGAGGACAGGAAAGATTGTTGTTGTTGTTGTTGTTGTTGTTGTTGTTGTTGTTGTTGTTGTTGTTGTTGTTTTACCATATTTAACACTAGTTTCTGAATAAATAAACTGGACCTGGGCTTTGAAGAACTTTATAAACTTGTATATCTTTGGGTTTTAAATGTCAAAAGGACTAAATGCTCATAATTTTTTAGGCAACTGAACTTAAAAGACTTTGAAGTCAATYTATCTTTGAATAATGTTCAGTTCGGTAATGAAACAATTTTAATGTTTGACCTACTTGCTGGTGACTCATTATATGTGTAATTTATTAAAAGTGCCAATGCATAAGCACCAAAATTATATTTGGGCCTCATTTTTTATTTCTTTGACAATTCTTAATTTCCTCCTGCAGCTTTGAAAGAAAAAGAACAAATAAGTCTAAACATGCTGCTCAATTGAGAAGAATGTGCTATGACTTTTGGTAACAGTATGATTTTTGGCTTTAACAAAACTGGAAAATAAAAAACAGGCAATATTAAATAAAGCAATAATTTTACTTAATGATGTAAAATAGCAAAATGTAAAAAAAATGCTGTTAGTGGAGAAACTAACATTTTGACCTATTATGTTTTACACCATTACTTTCTTCAGCCATACTCACTTTAAAAAATAAAAATTGTTTCTAAAAATATCACTCTAAAAAACATACATTGGGCCTCATACAAGAACATGTTCATATTCTTATCCTAAAATTCTCTTACTTTTGTTTGTTCGAAGAGTTCATACAAACATTCCACGTCAGATTCAACAAGCTTTTCTATCTTCAGGAAAACTGTGTAAATGAGGAGCGTAAACTGATGAATGTGTATCAGGTGCTCGTGCACGAGGAGAGGAGATTAGCATAATTACCACCCTAAAACCACCATATAAGGATATGTTTCCTGCCCCACATACCAGGAAGTGTTCATTCATTAGTGACATCACAAAGGAAAAAAGAAGAACTTTACGAGTTTGGAGATTGAAGTTCTGCTTTCAGAGACCCACAAGAGAAAATGTCATTTTTAGCAGGGTCAGCTGTGGAATTAAAGGATCTACTTTAAAGCCGAGGAATGAAATGATGACTGATATTAATGTCGTGTCTCCCGTGGGTCGTTTACAGTCATAGAAATAAAAATCTGAATCATATTCATCTCTCTCTGTAGTCCTGCTCCGTTTTTCTTTGGTCAAATATTTTAAATTTCAGTGTAAACAACTGTTACATTGTTTTCACTTATTCAGGAGAGCAGTCGCTCACCGCTACCCTCACTACACCCACCCCCCCCCAGTCAACATAATTATGGAGGGTGATTTCAACTCGAAATATCTTCAAACTAATGAAATATAAAGTTATTAATGAAGAAAATCCGTCGGATAACAGCAGACTGACTGCTCATAAAATTTACGACAGGTCTGGACCACTCGTGAATTTTGTTCGTGTCTGAAGAAAATCTTAGAATATGAAAACATTGGTGAATGCCACAAATTCTCCTAAATCACTTGTACGCACAACTTCAGAACAAATCTGTTCGTACGAACGGTTCTTGCACGAGGCCCAATGTTTCTAAAAATGTCTTCATACGGGAAAACACTGACAATAGTACCATGGCAGCGTGACACTGCCACAAAGTACACCAAAAAACATGAAACAGGATGTAAAGCCTGGTCATGAAGCTTTTAGGTTGGGTTTAAACTGTAAATACTAACTGCCCCCCGAACCGTCAAGGTCTTCTTTGCTGTGAGACAGTTATGTAGAACATTGATTATCGTTGTCTGGTAATTTAACACATTCTCATGTCGGATTCGTAACATATTGACGCACGGGGGGTACCCCGCACGTCCGTCCCGGCTTTTCCGGGTTTGCATGACGTGTGAGGTCAACATTAGGAATCAGGATTAAAGGCTAACTTTAGGGTCTGTGGTTAACATGAGGTTAGGGGTTAGTGGTTAACTTTAGGGTCTGTGGTTAACATGAGGTTAGGGGTTATGGTTAACATGAGGTTAGGGGTTAGTGGTTAACTTTAGGGTCTGTGGTTAGCATGAGGGATCACGATTAAAGGTTAATTTTAGGGTCTGTGGTTAACATGAGGGATCACGATTAAAGGTTAACTTCAGGGTCTGTGGTTAACATGAGGGATCATGATTAAAGGTTAACTTCAGGGTCTGTGGTTAACATGAGGGATCATGATTAAAGGTTAACGTTAGGGTCTGTGGTTAGCATGAGGGATCATGATTAAAGGTTAACTTTAGAGTCTGTGGTTAGCATGAGGGATGTGGTTAACATGAACGATCAGGGTTAATGGTTAACTTTAGAGTCTGTGGTCAGGGTTAGGCTCTATAAGGCTAGTAGAAGTTAAATTTAGTGTCTAGGATGGTTAGTTTCACGCAAATCTTGGATTGTAATAACACCATCCTCCTCCTCCCCATCTCGTACAGAACGGACGCGCGGGGGTTACCCCCATCGTCAACGTAATGACGCTTGGTCATGCATCAATACCTTGACGCGTGGGGCATGAGAATGGGCTCGGTAATTACAGAAGCACAGTATACAAAGTCTCTGCTGTGGTTCTATAGCACCAACACAAGCATGAAATCTGCCATTATGTTGTTGTAAGTTATGTAAATGTTGAATTCTCACCAAACTTGGGAGAATATCATTACTAAGCAACTGTTGTAAAGGCTAATGTGCAGTTAGCTTAGCATAAACTGTTGAAAACATGTGAAAGGAGTAAGTTATGCTCCAAACACCTGTTAGTGTGGCTAAATTGTCTCATTACATCTCGCTAATTAAAAGTGTAGACAAACAGAAAACACTCAGATTTTTGAGTCCATTCTCATGCCTCCCGCGTCAAGATATGGACGCTTGACCAAGCGTCCATATGTTGATGTGTGGGGGGTAGCCCCCGCGCATCCGTTCTGTATGAGATGAGGCGGAGGACGACGAGTCCCTGAACACAGACCCTAAAGCTAACCAATAACCCTGATCCCTCATGTTGACCCTTTTTTCCCAGACCCTAAATTTAACCTATGTTAGCTATGTAAAGCCTATCCCTGACCCCAGTATTTCAAAYTAACTATTATCCCTGACCATAGACCCTAAAGTTAACCCTTAATCCTGATCCCTCATGTTAACCACAGACCCTAAAGTTAACCGTTAATCCTGAGACGCGCAACCTGGAAAAGCCGTGGGCGGCAAGGACGCGCGCGTCAATATGTTAAGAGTCCGACATGAGAATGTGTTAGATTTTTAAGGATATGCAAAGTGAAGCTGTATTTCTCACCTCTGAAGGCGTAAATGTTACCAGCATCATCAGACGTGATGGCGTCCAGGTGAACATGGCTGCAGCGCTCTCTGTCCAGATGATTACTGTCATCACCTGAACGGCCATCAAACACATAAAAATTCACTTTAATCCACTAAGAGTAGCTTGACAAACAGGTGACTCTTAAAGAATTGTATCACTTCAGAACAAGACACAGCATTCCTTGGACAGTCTTCAGGGAGGAGATTTGCAGAAACATCTCCGCAATTGACTCAGTTCACTTACCAAACTTTGGGCACCTCACGAAGTAGCCACGAATCTCTTTGGGGTATTTCCCATGGACCTCACCAGTTTTTGGGTCAAACTTGGAGAACTTGTGGCCGTGGAAGCAGTAATARTGACCCAAGTACCGGAAAGCCACGGTGCAGTTGGGCATGTTCTCAAATGTTTTCTCCACTACTTTCTTGCTTTTAATACCAAAGTGGTAGATGTCATCTCCTGTGGGACAAAAAATGGTGGAGAAGATAGTAAAGTGTTCAGATGATAACCTTCATCTAAAAGAGTTTCAAGAAGGAACAGCTTTAAATAAAAGCTCTACTTCATATAAGAATTAAAGTCACTCCATAGGTGTTGAGAGACAAAACTTAACTATTACAGGATGTATAAAAATGTTCTCTATATAACAATCCAAAGTTATCCTTCTGWAATATACAAATTAGAGATATGACATTCATGAACAATCCGAGTTTTTTGAATGGCTCTTTACAACGAATGATAGGAGCTGAATCGCGGGAAGTAATGAGCCATTTGTAGTTTTATTTCTTTTATTCCTCATATAATCTTTATTTTTCATACTTAAATTGCTCCCGCTTTGCTTTTTCACGGAAAACAGACGGAGATGTGGAGTACAGAAGCTCACAGTGAAAGGGGGAGGGAGGTTTCTGATTGACAAACCCATGGTTCCACCCACGTGACGGGATGACGTCATTACGGCTACGTGATGACGTATTTCCCTATGTGATGACGTAATATGTTGAAAATCGAATGGCTCTTTTGAACGGCTCTATGAAATAAACGGCTCCCCAAGATCCGGATCCCTTCAAGGAGCCATTTATCCCATGTCTAATACAAATCAGTCACTCAGTGATGAGATCTTTTAAACTCTACATTTATGTAGAGTTAAACAACCCACACAGTTACACAGTAAAAGATAACTTGTAAGATTTACTACAGAAAATCCTGTAAGTGATTTGCACTAACATTTGTTAAGTATATTCTTGATAATTTTTACTAGATAATGATGAGTAAATATTACATGAATTTGTAGCATTTAAATTTACTTAACAAAAGTAAGCACAAATTGTTACGAGGACTTTTTCTAGTAAATCTTATAAGTCCTTTATAACAGTGCACATGTGTCAAGCACAATATTGTAGCATGACACCTCACAGCTACAGAGAGAGGTGTAGTTCATGTTGTTGTTCAAGACGTCATCAACAGGTGACAGTTTTGAAGAACCTTTATTGGATTCTTCTTCATGAACAACACAGACAAAGTGAAACTCACAGGTCTTATTAATGACTAGGCCTACCACTCTCACTTATGGTTACTTCTGCTGAATGCTTTAACACAAGTTAACAAATAATGAGCACACAAATTAGAGTAACGCAACAGACTAACTGCTGAAAGAACAATGTTAACCAATTCCCTAAAATGATTTAACGACAACAAACATGAATCCTACCCACAATCCTCCACTGCAGTCACATGACAAACAGCCAAACACAGCAGAATGCTACAAWATGCATTCCCTGTTCCCTGACAACTAAATATCACCTACATTATGTCATCAAACTATTGCACACCAACAAATGTATTCAAGCAAAAGAAACCAGACAACTTATGTTTTATTTCGACCATGTCTTGTCCTCTCCTTGAAAAGTGAAGCAAGGGAATGAGGAGCAGCAGCCCTGTGCGCATGCACCATCAGTTTTAGCCCAGAAGAGTAGAAGTTACTTAATATAATCATGTTGTGCTGTCCAGAAAAAGCACTTAAATATTACTGGTAAAATAATATTAGCATTTACTTTTTTTGTGCAGTAATATTGATATACAATATAATGTGTATTGTTTATTTAGTAAATTCTAGTAGTTTAGAGATTTTGACATTTTTTGTAATATTTAAAAGAATAATTAAATAAATGTTACTACACCCAGAAATCCCTTTTTTTTTCAGCGTACCCTTGAAGAATATGACAGAGTCCTCATCACAGTCTGGATTAGGACACTCCACAGCAGCATCCAGGTGGTTTGGGATTCCAGGAAAGACTTCGGAGATTTCCTTGGGATACCCTACCTCCAGCTTGTGTTGGTAGTAAGAAAATACTTTGTTGTCCTACATCAAACATGAGCAAATACAGAAAAGATGTTGAGCTCACTGCTAAAATTCAGATTCTATCAAAATCTTTCTAAAACACAAATATGTCATTTACATGCGTTTTAGGAACTCTCTATATTTATACCATCCTTGTTTCTATTCAGTTGCCGTATGGCTCAACAAAATGTCTTCTTGATTCAAAACTCTCATGATGCTCTCAAACTATTAGATTTTTCTTTAACATTGAACTTTACCAAAAAGAGGAAGATGTGGTCATGGTGGGTGGGATCATCTTTGTAGTGCATACGGAGGGCAGCATCTACGTGGCCCAGATGGTGATGGTCGTCCAACTCAGTAAAAGATGAATTAGCCAACTCAGCTTTGCCACTGAAGCCCTTGTATAAGTGTGGACCTGACCAAAAAAATCCAACAATTTAAGTACATATATCCCTACCTTTTGTAGTGACGCATGAAGTTGACATGAATTTAAACAACTAATCAGACAGTACAGAACTTTTAAAATTTAACTGTATTCAGACAAAAGTCCCACCCACAACTGCTCATCATGAGATAGCTTACCCTTGAAAAAGTAAGGGATGCCCTCCTCATTCTCTGTTGCAGCGTCCATCTCAATACCTTTACAACGATCTAAAGCTCCACCGTGGTGGTCCCCACCATGTCCATGGTGGTCCCCACCGTGTCCATGTTGATCCCCAGCTTGTCCATGATGATCTTTCTTTTTTCCATGGGGATCTCTGGACAAAACAAAAAGAAGATTTTAATTTTTGTTAGTACTATATATTTTGTGCACACATCACTATACCTTTAGGATTTTAAATTAAGTTCATAAAATATGGATAAAATATAACTAATGGTCCTTGTACAAGACATGGTTTTATTGTAATTATTCCTCGATGTTAAYATAGAAGAACATCCTGCCCTTGTTCCATCGTGATCTTACAGTTTTTTTTTTCAATTAGGGAGCTACGGTATTAACTGAAAAAAGGTGATGCTAGGATTCCTTCGTTAGATCAAATAATAGCATATTGTTAACCCTTGTTTCAACTCGTTACTAAATAAAGCTTAGGCAATTTTATTAAGGAGTCTCTAAACCATATTTTGCATTAAGTACAATCATATATATAT